TACAAGAGCTAGCCAGGGTGTCTTGGAACATTCTCAGGGAACAGATAAACAAAGCAGAGACTGCCAGCCAATTTCTCTTCACCCTGCTAGTTCACAGAGTAACTGCCTGGTGTCCGATTTGTCCGGTGTCTCTCAGTGAAGCCAGTGTGACAAAGCCCCTTTTGTCACCTTTCTGACCAATAAGGGGTGAGGTGTGGGGCTTTCTTTAGCCCTGGGCTGGAGGATGTTGAATTTTCCCTTGGAAAAATGGAAAATAAAAACCTCATGGAAAATTGCTCTTTTTTTTTTTTTGAGATGGAGTTTCGCTCTTGTTGCACAGGCTAGAGTGCAATGGCATGATGTTGGCTCACCACAACCTCCATCTCCCAGGTTCAAGCTATTCTCCTGCCTCAGCCTTCTGAGTAGCTGGGATTACAGGCATGCGACACCAGGCCCAGCTAATTTTGTATTTTTAGTAGGGATGGGCAGGCTGGTCTCAAACTCCTGACCCAGGTGATCTGCCTGCCTTAAGCCTTCCAAAGTGTTGGGATTACAGGTGTGAGCCACTGCACCTGGCTTTTTTTTTTTTTTTTTTTTTTGAGAAGGAGTCTTGCTCTGTAGCACAGGCTGGAGTGCAGTGGTATGATGTCGGCTCACTGCAACCTCCGCCTCCCAGGTTCAAACAATTCTCCTGCCTCAGCCTCTCAAGTAGCTGGGATTACAGGCACCTGCAACCATGCCCAGCTATTTAATTTTTAGTAGAGACGGGCTTTCACCATGTTGGTCAGGCTGGTCTCCAACTCCTGACCTCAGGTAATCCACCTGACTTGGCCTCTCAAAGTGTTCGGATTACAGGCATGAGCCACTGTGTCCAGCCCAGAAATTGCTTATTAATGAAAGAAACATTACCCTGAAATCAAGACTTCTCAAAAATTGTTTATCTTGTTCATTAATGTTTTACTATCTGGGCCTCCCTTGTGCTTTGTTCTCCAAAACTCATGGTATCATACACTTGGGTATTTTACTTGATTTTGTTTTTATTTTTTTGTGTGTGTTTTTTGAGAGATGGTGTCTCACTGTTGCCCAGGTTGGAATGCAGTGGCACAGTCACGGCTCATTATAGCCTTTAACTCCTGGGCTTGAGGGATCCTCCCACCTCAGCCTCCTGAATAGCTAGGACTACAGGTGAGCACCACTGTGCCTGGCTGATTTTTAAATTTTATTTTATTTGTAGAGACAAGGTCTTGCTGTGTTGCCCAGGCTGGTATCAAACTCCTGGCTTCAAGCAGTACTCCTGCCTTGGCCTCCCAAAGTGCTGGGATTACAAGCATAAGCTACTGCCCTTGGTCCACTTGTGTATTGTCTATGACAAAGCCAGCTAAAAACCCACTACTTGAGGCTGGGTGTGGTGGCTCATGCCTATAATCCCAGCACTTTGGGAGGCTGAGGTGGGTGGGTCACCTGAGGTCAGGAGTTCGAGACCAGCCTGGCCAACATGGTGAAACCCCATCTCTACTAAAAATACAAAAATTAGCTGGGTGTGGTGGCGGGTGCCTGTAATCTCCGCTTCTTGAGAGGCTGAGGCAGGAGAATTGCTTGAACCCGGGAGGCAGAGGTTGCAGTCAGCCGAGATTGTACCATTGTACTCCATCCTGGGTGACAAAAATGAATTTCCATCTCCAAAACAAAACAAACAAACAAAAAACCACACTACTTGAACAGATAACGCTTACAGAAGCTACTAAATTAACTGACTCCAAACACATTGTGGGTATTGGGATCTGGTTTATGAAGCCACAGCAAGCCTGGGTATGGTGGCTCATGCCTGTAATCCCAATACTTTGGGAGGCTGAGATGGGAAGATTGCATGAACCCAGGAGTTCAGCACCAGCCGGGGCAATATAGTGAGACCCTGTCTCTTACAAAAAAGAAAAGAAAAGAAAATCTTTTAAACAAAAAGTCTCGGCCGGGCGCGGTGGCTCAAGCCTGTAATCCCAGCACTTTGGGAGGCCGAGATGGGTGGATCACAAGGTCAGGAGATCGAGACCATCCTGGCTAACACGGTGAAACCCCGTCTCTACTAAAAAATACAAAAAACTAGCCAGGCGAGGGGGCGGGCGCCTGTAGTGCCAGCTACTCGGGAGGCTGAGGCAGGAGAATGGCGTGAACCCGGAGGCGGAGCTTGCAGTGAGCTGAGTTCCGGCCACTGCACTCCAGCCTGGGCGGCAGAGCGAGACTCCGTCTCAAAAAAAAAAAAAAAAAAAGTCTCTGGGAAGGGGACCACACATTCTTGCATGAGTCAGATGTGCTCCTTCTTGGGAAGAATGATTACCTCGAGAGTGGTCCCAGATGGCCTCTGGCGTTCCCTAGAGGTGGTCTGCCTTGTTTACCTACCACAGTGCTTGACTCAAGTTGCCCATTAAATATGTGTTGCATGGATGATGAACTAAAATTGACTATTATGAATTCCCAAGTTCCTCGAAAGTGTTTGATAATTGCTTTGATTCTACCAAAGATTATCTGACCTTTTGATGCCAGACTTGGCATTATTAATTTGGAAGGCTGAAGGAGAAAAATGCTCCAATTTATTGAGAGGGGGAAAAAAAAGGTAACTGGAAAATAATGGAAATGGATTAGCAGTCTCAAAGGAATATCTTAGTTGTCTTGAAGTTGAGCCCTGCATCATTCTCCTCAGGGAGAAATGTTTTTTGTTTGTTTTTGTTTTTTTTTTTTTTTTTTTTTTGAGACGGAGTCTCGCTCTGCCGCCCAGGCTGGAGTGCAGTGGCCGGATCTCAGCTCACTGCAAGCTCCGCCTCCCGGGTTCACGCCATTCTCCTGCCTCAGCCTCCCGAGTAGTTGGGACTACAGGCGCCCGCCACCGCGCCCGGCTAGTTTTTTGTATTTTTTAGTAGAGACGGATTTCACCGTGTTAGCCAGGATGGTCTCGATCTCCTGACCTCGTGATCCGCCCGTCTCGGCCTCCCAAAGTGCTGTGTTTTTGTTTTTTTTTTGTTTTTGTTTTTTTAAATCACAGAATGCTTGCATTCGTTAAGAAAAATCTAAATTACAAGGGTGAAATTGGAAGTTCCAGGAGTTGAACCTGGAAGTGGAAAACATTGTCAGAATAAAAGGATGTCCTTGAAATCGCTCACTCCCACTCTGCCTTAGAGAGAAGTGTCAACATAAATTGTAAGAGACTGGGAGGAAATGGCTCGATTACCCTTCAAGCCAGAAGGCATCTCTTGCTGAGTATTTCATTCAGTCACCTATTCAGCAAACGTTAACTCTGTGTATGGCAGGCTTTCCACTTTGCTGTAATGAGGGCAGCATCACCCACATGTCAGTGTAGAGCTGATAATTGTTCAAGAACGGGTGCCTGAAGAACCTGCTGCCATGGGTATGAACTGAGGACATGGGGAAGGGAAAGGAGATACAGTCTTGACCCCACCCCCGCCCCAAGATGGGGATGTTTGAGGATGCGTGGATAGTCCAGGGAAGAGCAGGAGGAAGCTAACGTGAGAAGTGAATACTGAGAGAGCGTCCTGGAAGGATTTCAAGGCTCTCTCACCCATTTTTAAAGGCAGAGCCTGACTGGGAATGGTGGTGCATGCCTATAATCCCAGTGCTTTGATAGGCTGAGGTGGGAGCATCACTTGAGCCCAGGAGTTCGAGGCTGCAGTGAGCTATGATTGTACCACTGCACTCCAGCCTGGGTGACAGGGGTGAGACCATTTCTTAGTAAGTGAGTGAGTGAATCAATGAATGAATACAGAGTCTACATTAGGTTTGATTATCCTTGGCAAAAGCTAACAATCTAAATTTATAATCACTGGAAGTAGCCTTTCCTTCTACTATCTTTCAGATTCATGTTTCATTTTTTGTCTCTCAGGGTAATCTTTGTCAGGAATTTATATGTCAGGGAAGGAAGGGTCCAGGGAGTTTTGTTTTGTTTTTTGAGACAGAGTCTCACTCTGTCGTCCAGGCTGGAGTGCAGTGGCACGATCTCGTCTCACTGCAACCTCCACCTCCCAGGGTCAAGTGATTCTCCTGCCTCAGCCTCCCCAGTAGCTGGGACTACAGGCGTGTGCCACTATGCCCAGCTAATTTTTGTATTTTTAGTAGAGACAGGGTTTCATAATGTTGGCCAGGCTGGTCTCAAACTCGTGACCTCAGGTGATCTGCCTGCCTCGGCCTCCGAAAGTGCTGGGATTACAGGCGTGAGTCACTGTGTCCAGCATCTAGGGAGGTTTTTGAAAATTAAGTTCTCACTGGGCACAGTGGCTCATGCCTGTAATCCCAGCACTTTGGGAGGCTGAGGCAGTTGGATCACCTGAGGTCCGGAGTTTGAGACCAGCCTGGCCAACATGGTAAAACCCCGTCTCTACTAAAAATACAAAAGTAGCTGCGTGTGGTGGTGCATGCCTGTAATCCTAGTTACTTGGGAGGCTGAGACAGGAGAATTGCTTGCACCTGGGAGCCGGAGGTTGCAGTGAGCTGAGATCATGCCACTGCACTCCAGCCTGGGCGACAGAGTTGAGACCCCGTCTCAAAAAAAGAAAAAAATTATGTTCCAAGACCTCACCACACCCAATGAGAAGAAAGACCAAATCTTTCTGTTAATGGCAGCTAAATGGAAGGGCAGGTGGGTTCTTGGCATTCATACTGGCCTAAGCCCAAATCCCTGGGAGGCTGCCAGCAGGTGTTGGGTAACTCTGGTCACCAGCAGTTGCTTCAGATGCCACTGCAGTAACCCCGTATGACACACGAGAGACCCAGGCAAATGTGAGAGTGGGTTAACTATGCTGTGAATAGGAGTAACCTCAGATGAAAGCTGGGGCTTACTCAGCTACAAAAAGTTGGAAAGCTTCCCCTGCCTTCATGAGGTACCATTGTAAGCTAGTGTGATGGTAAAATTCCCACAACACCCGTCTGGCTGCCCATGTTAAGTTGATAAAGTCAAGATCTTTTCTAAGGGTTAATAAATGGAGTTAATCCCCAAATACAAATTTGGACTGTTTCAGAGATGTGAATACAGCTGTGATGGAGTTGCTCATCATGGCTTACGCACTGAAGACTGCCTGTGCCAGGAATATTATTGGGGTCATCCCCTACTTCCCCTACAGCAAGCAGAGCAAGATGAGGAAGAGAGGTTCCATTGTGTGCAAGCTGCTAGCATCCATGCTGGCAAAAGCAGGTGAGTGTGCGCCGGGGCCCTGGGGTTCCAGCATGATCCTTTAGGGCTCTTTCCTAGTCGGGCTTAGTTCATACCTCAGATACCCAATTTGGGATCTGAGTGTTTGTTTCCTTTTGAACAGTTTTGGCTAAGGATATGTGAGCTTGGTTAGAAATTCTGTTTTTTCCCTTATTCGCTTCGTCTTACTTTAGAATACCATTGCTTTAGTGTCTTCTCTTCTCTGTCATCTGTCACGTATCTTCTATTTCATCTTGTCATCGTTAAATTCTTAGCTGGCAGTCTTGGCATTCTTATGTGATCTTTTGATCTTCAGGTCTGGATTTCTGTACCTGCTTTGTTAGCTAAATTCCATTTTTGTTCATAGTATTCAAGCTGGATTTTCTTTTACTACCTCTCCCCCACCTTTGCCTTTCTACATAGCAGCTCATTTTCATTGCTTTATTCTCCTTATGTAGCGGGGGCACACTTTCTGGCCTGTAAATCAATGTAGTATTTTACATTTGGGTTTCTATTCATCTGATGTCTATTCTAAAACTTTAACATGTATTTATGTCCTCAGAATGAAATGTATGGTCCTCCCTCGATATCCTTGTAGGATTGGTTCCAGGAACCTATCTCCCCCTTCCCCGGCTCCTCAGCAGATACCAAAACCCAAAGATACTCAAGTCTTTCATATAAAATGCCATAGTATTTGCATATAACCAACACAGTCATCTGGAGATTATTTATAAATACCGAATACCGTATAAATACTATGTAAATTGTTGTTATAACTGTCATTATTTAGGGAATAATGACGAGAAAAAAAATTTCATACCTGCTCAGTACAGACACAACCATTGTAGGCCTAACTACATTTTCAGTCTGTGTTTGGTTGAATCCCCACGTGGAACTCGTAGATCCAGATGGTCAACTGTATGTGAATTTCCTTCTGTCCAAAAAAGTATAATATTTCTGGAAAGAACAAGTAATACTGGTTCTATGCTCTGGAAGTTTTGCTGTGACCTTTGACCATTTGCAATGTGTTTATATATGTACCTTTTCCTCTTCAGTACTCTTGATTATAAGAGGATCTCTTCACTGTTTTTCTATAAGAGTACTTGAAACATTCTTTATCACATACAGAAATTATTCTAAACTTCAATATCTTTGTGTTACATGAGTTTCTTTTCTTCTAATATGTATATTTGTTTTTGTGTTCTTACTACTTTTTGCCTTCGCTGCAGTTCTTTATCCTTTCAAGATTCTTTAATAAAGGCCTTACTGTTTTTTACATCTCTTTGATATTAATTCCATATTCATAGTTTTGCTTCTGCCACATTATTCTTTTCTCAATTTTCTGGACCAAGCCAATAGTCAATAATTCCCACTTTCTCAGCTTTAGTTCTTTGTCCATGTGGAAGGTTGTAGCCTTCTCTACATTGGAAAGTTGTAGTCTTCTCCACATTAAGGCTTTATTAAAGTTAACAATCAAGCCTGTGATTGCAGTGCTTAATCACAGCACCCCCTGTCTTCAGTCTGCTGGTAGGAAGCAGGAGTTGAGCATCTAGTTTAGGTCCACTGTAGCCATTAACCTGTAGGGGTGAACTTTGTAATTTTTTGTTTTAAAATTTCAGGTTTAACTCACATTATCACTATGGATCTTCATCAAAAGGAAATACAAGGCTTTTTCAGCTTTCCCGTGGACAACCTTAGAGCCTCACCTTTCCTGCTTCAGTATATCCAGGAAGAAGTGAGGAACCACCAGCAAACACCCCATTGTCCTCAAAAGAGATCTTATTTAGTTTTTCTCTGGTATCAGATTTCGATATTGAAAGGCGCATCAAATGAGCTCTCCCTTAAGTCGCAATGCCTGAGGCAGCAGACAGGGTCAGCTTTAGTCGTGGAGGATCATAGCTTTAAAAGACACTAAAAATGGATTTTTTTTCCTACGTATCTTTAGCAATTTGCTTATGTTTTCTAAAATGAAGGTTTTAATAAGAATTATTTTTTTAAAATTCTTGATGGAGTGCTTTTTACAATGATGTTAATTGATAAATATTGAAAAATCTAAAACTTGTGGCTAAAATTCTAGCATATTTGATGACTAGTTTGGATCATTGTTATAAGAACTTGAATACCAGCATCCAGGTGTTATTTTCTGATAACTTTTCAGTATTTTCTATTTTTCCTTCAAATCTAGATTCCAAATTACAGAAATGCAGTCATTGTAGCTAAGTCTCCTGATGCTGCAAAGAGGTAAGTAAGCTAGACATGGGTCCTGATCCCTCCTGAGTGCTCCCAAAGCCAGAATGAGCTGCTTTGGAATCCAGAGGCTGTCACTCGTGGCCTGTGAAAACCCGTTGGCTCTCATGTTAACCCCTTCCTCGTTGCCATGTCCCATGCCACACACAGCTTTATCTCCAGCCTCCAGACAACACACATGATTGCTGAGTTGCTCAGCTTTCCTCTGGGAAAACAAAGTTCCTTCAAGTTCCCAGAGAAAGGAAATCAATGAGGCTATGAGCATTTTTCAGCGAGTCTCACTCTGTTGCCCAGGCTGGAGTGCAATGGCTTGATCTCGGCTCACTGCAACCTCTGCCTCCTGGGTTCAATTCAAGCACATCTCCTGCCCCAGCCTCCCCAGTAGCTGGGATTACAGGCACCTGCCACCACTCCTGGCTCATTTTTTGTATTTTTAGTAGAGACGGGGTTTCACCGTGTTCACCAGACTAGTCTTGAACTCCTGACCTCAGGTGATCTGTCCACCTCGGTCTCTAAAAGTACTGGGATTACAGGCGTGAGCCACTGTGCCCGGCCCAGGCAATGGTTTTTAACGTTGTTCTCTCTTCTGAAGATGACTATTAAGAATATTGGACAAAGGATAGAATCAAAATTATCTAGAATCAGGTCTGGGCGGGGTGGCTTACGCCTGTAATTCCAGCACTTTGGGAGGGCAAAGCGGGAGATCGCTTGAGCCCAGGGGTTCAAGACTGGCCTGGGTAACATAGTGAGACCCTGTCTCTACAAAAATACAAAAATTAGCCAGTTGTGATAACATATTCCTGTGGTCCCAGCTACTTGGGAGGTTGAGCTGGGAGGATCACCTGAGCCCCAGGAGGTTGAGGCTGCAGTGAGCCATGTTGATGCCACTGCACTCCAGCCTGGGTGACAGTGAGACTTTGTCTCAAAAAAAAAAAAAAAAGTATCTAGAATCAGATAAAATCCCAGACGCTAACTCTTGTGCCCTTTGAGGCATTTACATTCTGACCTGGGCCTCACATTCTCATTTATATAAATAATGCCTTTGCATGTCCCTGAAATGTTACATATTTTCATTTTGTGGTTAAAAAGTGATGCAGTAGTGATATGTGGGATTTCTTCCTGTCAGTTTCACCATTTCCCTTTGTCCTTCTAGGGCCCAGTCCTATGCGGAGAGACTGCGTCTGGGTTTGGCTGTCATCCACGGGGAAGCTCAGTGCACGGAACTGGACATGGACGATGGTCGTCACTCCCCACCTATGGTCAAAAATGCGACTGTGCACCCGGGCCTGGAGTTGCCGTGTAAGATGAGCTCTGTGTTTTTATTTTAGTTGTAAATTGAAGAAAGTTTTTTTTTGTTTTTATTGTTGTTGTTTTGTTTTGTTTTGTTTTTGAGACGGAGTCTCACTCTGTCGCCCAGGCTGGAGTGCGGTGGCGTGATCTCGGCTCACTGCAACCTCAGCCTCCTGGGTTCAAGCAATTCTCCTGCCTCAGCCTCCTGAGTGGCTGGGATTACAGGTGTGTGCCACCACCCCCAGCTAAAAATGTATTTTTAGTAGAGACAGGGTTTCACCATGTTGACCAGGCTGGTCTCAAACTTCAGACCTCATGATCTGCTTGCCTTGGCCTCCAGAGTGGTGGAATTACAGGCATGATCCTCTGCGCCTGGCCCTGAAGAAAGTTTTAAGTAGTCTGAATGACTAGGAGTTACCGACTATGTAGATATATGCTGTCTTGTTGTATTTAAATAATGGAATGGTATTTGCTATCCTCCGCCTTTTTTATGTTTTGAGAAAGGATTTCACTCTGTTGCTCAGCCTGGAGTACAGTGGCACAGTCATGGCTCACTGCAGCCTCAACCTCCTGGGCGCAAGTGATTCTCCCACCTCCACCTCCTGGGTAGCTGGGACTCTAGGGGTACACTACCATGCCTGGATAGTTTTCTTTTTTTTTTTAATAGAGACGGGGTCTCCCTACATTACCCAGGCTGGTTTGGAACTTCTGTGCTCAAACAGTCCTGCTGTCCTGACCTCCCAAAATGCCAAGATTACATAAGATTATGGATGTGAGCCACCATACCAGGCCCGATTTCCTCTTTTGTAAAAGGGAGTTGTGTTGTACGCATTTGTAGACTGTGTATGGACAGTTCTGCGTAGCACTCAGCATTCAGACAATATTCGATAATTTTTGCTTTAGTAAAAAAGTTGTATGTGATGGTGTGAAATCTTAAGCTTTTATATTATGGTAAGCTGGGTGACATCTGTTGATCAAATACCAGGCTTTGGGGATCAGGTAACTTTTATTTGTATTTATTTATTTATTTTGAGATAGAGTCTTGCTCTGTCGCCAGGCTGGAGTGCAGTGGTGCAATCTTGGCTCACTACAACCTCCTCCTCTCGGGTTCAAGCGCTTCTCCTGCCTCAGTCTCCCCAGTAGCTGGAACTATAGGTGCGTGCCAACACGCCCAGCTAATTTTTGTGTTTTTATTATTTATTTATTTATTTATTTTTCGAGATGGAGTCTCGCTCTGTCGCCCAGGCTGGAGTGCAGTGACGCGATCTCGGCTCACTGCAGGCTCCACCTCCCGGGTTCACGCCATTCTCCTGCCTCAGCCTCCCGAGTAGCTGGGACTACAGGCGCCCATCACCACGCCCGGCTAATTTTTTGTATTTTTAGTAGAGACGGGGCTTCACCATGTTAGCCAGGATGGTCTTGATCTCCTGACCTCGTGATCCACCTGCCTTGGCCTCCCAAAGTGCCGGGATTACAGGCGTGAGCCACTGCGCCCGGCTGATTTTTGTATTTTTAGTAGAGACGAAGTTTCACCTTATTGGCCAGGATGTTCTCTATCTCTTGACATTGTGATCCGCCTGCCTTGGCCTCCCAAAGTGCTGGGATTACAGGCGTGAGCCACTGCACCTGCCCCATTTTTATTTTTTTTAATTTTGTTTAAGACTGAACTCGTAGGCCTGGCGCGGTGGCTCACGCCTGTAATCCCAGCACTTTGGGAGGCCGAGGCGGGCGGATCACGAGGTCAGGAGATCGAGACCATCCTGGCTAACACGGTGAAACCCCGTCTCTACTAAAAAAAATACAAAAAACTAGCCGGGCGAGGTGGCGGGCGCCTGTAGTCCCAGCTACTCGGGAGGCTGAGGTAGGAGAATGGCGTGAACCTGGGAGGCGGAGCTTGCAGCGAGCCGAGATCGTGCCACTGCACTCCAGCCTGGGCGACAGAGCGAGACTCTGTCTCAAAAAAAAAAAAAAAAAAAAAACAGAAGAATAGTACAGATTTCCAGCATATGCTCTTCACTCAGAGTTCCCAAATTTAACATTTATATACTTGGGTTTTTTTTCACCATTTGAGGGTGAGTAGCAGACGTAATGTCCCTTCATTCCTCAATACCTACATGTACATATATAAAGACAAAAGACTCTTTTATATAACCAGAGTATCATTGTCAGACCTAGGAAGCTAACATTGCTATAACAGTGTAATTTACAGACTTTACTTAGGTTTCACCAGTGGTCCCAGCAGTGTCCTTTAGAGCAAAAGAATAAACTTGTTTTCTTGTCCAAGACCTAACCCAGGATCACACATTGCATTTACTTGTCATTTCTTTTTAGTCTCATTTAATCTGGAATGGCTGCTCTATTCTTTGTTTTTCTTATGACCTTGATACTTTTGAACAGTGCGATCAAGTGATTTTGTAGACTATCCCTTAATTGGGGCTTGTTTATGTCCTCAGGATTAGATTCAGGTTATGCATTTTTGGCAGAAAATCACGGAAAACATGTGATGTGTCCCATTACTGGTGACGTGCATTCTGATAAGTTGGTTAAGGTTTCTGTGGCAGGTTTCTCCACTGTAAAGTTATTCTTTTTTTTTTTTCCCCCTTTGTAATTAAGACTATGTTTTAACTGTAAATATTCCATTCAAAAAATAAAATTAGCCGGCTGTGGTGGTGGGCGCTGTAGTCCCAGCTACACGGGAGGCTGAGGCAGGAGAATGGTGTGAACCCGGGGGGGCGGAGCTTGCAGTGAGCCAAGATCGCACCACTGCACTCCAACCTGGGCGACAGAGCGAGACTGTCTCAAAAAAAAAAAAAGTCAACCAGGTAATGTGCTGATGTTCTAACAAGGTTCAAGGGTAGCACATCTCACATGTGAGCGTGAACACCCAATGATCACACTTAGGAACTATAAAAGGATCTGTCTGATAGCATTTTACCCAGAAGAAAGAACTACTTTCTCTCTTTTTTTTTTTTAAGACAAGAATCTCACTCTGTCGCCCAGGCTGGAGTGCAGTCACCATTTCGGCTCACTGCAACCTCTGCCTCCTGGGTTCAAGCAATTCTCCTGCCTCGGCCTCCTGAGTAGATGGGATTACAGATGATTACAGATGTGTGTCACCATGCCTAGCTAATTTTTGTATTATTAGTAGAGATGGGGTTTCACCATGTCAGCCAGGCTGGTCTCGATCTCCTGACCTCAGATGATCTACCCGGCTTTGGCCTCCAAAAGTGCTGGGATTACAGGTGTGAGCCACCATGCCTGGCCGAAAGAACTACTTTCAAAATTGTAGTTGCTTTTCTCAAACCCTGCCACTGTGTTACCAAATAATTTTTGTAATACTTCTAAATCCTTGTTTTCATTTCAGCAGTGTTCACAGCATCTTCGCCAGCAGTAGATTCATCTCAAAAAAAAAAAAAAAAACCCACTTTCTTTGCTTATCCATAAAAGCAACTCCTTCTCCATTACAGTTTTATCATAAGATTGAAGCAGCCCAGTCACAGCTTCAGGTTCCATTTCTAATTCTAGTTCTTTTGCTATTTCCACCACATCTGCAGTTACTTCTACCATGGAGGCCCTAAGCTCCTCAGAGTCATCCCTGAGGGTTAGAACCAACTTCTTCCAAACTCCTGTTAATGTTGATATTTTGACCTCCTCCCCTGAATCATGAATATTCTTCATGGCATCTAGAATGGTGCATCCTTTCCAGAGATTTTCAATTTACTTTGTCTGGATCCTTCAGAGGAATCACTATCTATGGCATCTATTGTCTTATAAAATGCATTTCTTTTTTTTCTTTCTTTTTTTTTTGATACAGAGTCTTGCTCTGTCACCCAGGTACAGTGGTACGACCTTGGCTCACTGCAACCTCCGCTTTCCTGGTTCAAGTGATTCTTGTGCCTCATTCTCTCGAATTTCTGGGATTGCAGGTGTGCCCCACCATGCCCAGCTGATTTTTGTATTTTTAATAGAGACAGGGTGTCACCATGTTGGCCAGGCTGGTCTCAAACTCCTGACCTCAGGTGATCTGCCTGCCTCGGCCTCCCAAAGTGCTGGGATTATAGGAGTGAGACACCACGCCCAGCCAAATGGATTTATTTTTATTTTATTTTAGAGGCGGGGTCTCTGTCTGCTGTCCGGGCTGGAGTACAGTGACAGGGTCTCCCTCTGTCGCCCAGACATGGAGTGCAGTGGTGCGACCACTGCTCACTGCAGCTTCTATCTCCTTAGGCTTAGGTGATCCTCCCACCTCAGCCTCCCAAGTAGCTTGGAAGCTGGGACAACAGGTGCGTGCCACCACACCTAACTAATTTTTGTAGAAATGGGGTTTTGCCATGTTGTCCAGGCTGGTCTTGAACTCCTGGGCTCAAGCAATCAACCCACCTTGGCCTCCCAAAGTGCTAGGATTAGAGGTATGAGCCACTGTGCCTAGCACACAGCTAATTTTTAGAAATTTTTAGTAGAGGCGGGGTCTTGTCTTGTTGTCCAGGCTGGTATCGAATTCATTGGCTCAAGTAATCCTCCTGCCTCAGCCTGTATTCTTGACAGTGTGGGAGGGTGAGGTGGGAGGATCACCTTACTATTATTACTTTTTTTTTTTTTTTTTGAGATGGAGTCTCGCTCTGTCACCCAGGCTGGAGTGCAGTGTCACAGTCTTGGCTCACTGCAACCTCCTCATCCCGGGTTCATGCCATTCTCCTGCCTCAGCCTCCTGAGTAGCTGGGACTACAGGCGCCTGTCACCACGCCCGGCTAATTTTTTGTATTTTTAGTAGAGACGGGGTTTCACTGTGTTAGCCAGGATAGTCTCAATCTCCTGACCTTGTGATCCGCCCACCTCGGCCTCCTCCCAAAGTGCTAGAATTACAGGCGTGAGCCACCGCGCCTGGCCTATTACTACTGCTAATAATAAGACTTGGAAGTTGAAATTACTCCTTGATCAATGGGCTGCAGAATGGATGTTGTATTAGTGGGCATGAAAACAATGCAAATCTCCTTGTATATCTCCGTCAG